ATTATAATATAATTAAATTTAAATTATTAAAATAAAAAATTGAAAATAATTATTATTTATATAAAATCAATTCAATTGCGACTTAAATTGTAATTAAATGTTCTAGTTAATAATAACGGATATACATAGAAAGATATGAAATATTGTTCCTCTGCCTCACAAAAGATGCTCTCTTTTATCATTAAACTCACGATCAATATGAAGTTTGAAGCAAGAGTCGAATCATCGCTATTCCGTTAGATATGAAAATAAGATTAAAGAATTTTCTTCAGTCTATTATTTTAAATTAACAATAATTTAAACATTTTAAATTAATAGTGTTTAAATGACTAAATTTATTTTTATTGTAAAAGCTCTATCAAAATAATGAGAACCGGAACGGATATATTTGTTTTAATCAATTATATACATATATTATTACTACTAACTTGGTTTTGTTTACACAATGATATACCAATAGGTAGACAAGAATTAAAAGTTGTTTTTCCTTTGTCTCTTTGCTAATTGCATTTCTTCTTATTGGCCCTTTTTCTGAAAAGGTCACAAGCCGTAAATTAAAATTTTCTCTATCACTTTGAATGAACTTAATTGGTTGAGAAACAAAAAATTGAGAAGATGCAATGTTATCAGACTAGAATATTTTTTACTAAAAAGTATAATCATTTCTCTAAGTTGATTTTGTCTTGATGCGTAATGAAAATTAATTGGAGTTTTTAAATTTATTTATTTTGCTTTCTTGGGTGATATGATTGAGGGGGGTGAGTTGGGAGTTCGGGTAAGTGTCACGGCTGAGAGGAGTGGACCCCGGAGTAGGGTGTAGACGCTGAGGAAGCCACGGTTTCCTTGAATAAGACATTTGATAATTATATATCGGTACATATAATTAAATGATGATTCATCTTGTCATATTAAAAGTATTTTAAGAATTGAATTTTAAAAAAATGTAAGTAAGGGGGTGAAATGAAACTGGGAAAATAGGCGAACAGGGAAAGCAGCACGGTCGGGTGGAGTGAGAGGCAGGGCAGGAACAGACAAACATCACCGAAACCTTATCTCAAATAATGATCTCTCTATCTCTCTCAATTTGTACGCTCCACAATCATCGACCTCTCACGGAATCAACTCCCATCAATACCAAATCATTGGTGGGCCCATGTGTCTGTGCCCCACATACATGCCCTCATCTCCCCCACGTGTCTACACTTCCACCTATTGCATTCCTTTTTCTTTTTCTTTTATTTTTAATACACACGTATACCCGATATAGCATGTTCTATTATGTAATATTTTTATCAACAATTATTTTAATTAGTCGTCCCTGATTTTATAAAATTAATATAGTAATAATTATAGCATAATTAAATGCTTCTTATATTTTATAAATTTATAATACGTTAGTTTTTATACATATCAATGAATAAGTGGATATTTTTGTTAATATAACTTGTTAAAATTTATTTAATAGAATAAACTTGTTTACATAGATTTATTTATTAATTTAAACTTACATTAATATGAATCAATCATTTTTTCACTTTCGATACATGTTATATACAAAACAAAGTTATTTAGCGAAGATGACATGATAACCACCACCACTGATTTGTTGGGTTTCATGTCACTCTGTTGTGGGGATGTGACGGGGAATCAGATTGCTGAGTTATTTAATTAAAGCCAACACTTTGATCATTAGCATATGTATATGTCACATGAATATTATGATTATTATATCCAATCATCCCATAAAGTGAAATTTGGGAGAATAAATACCTCATATAGGCATTTAATCTATAATAATCCTCATCTTCATGAAACCATGTTCATTTCCGGGGTATAAGATCCATTTTTTGGCCTTAATTATAATTCCTTCACGGTATCAAAGTCAAATTCAATCCACTTTGGGTGGGTTGGAGTCCCAAAACAAAACAAAACAACGGTTGCTCATAAGCTTTTCTTTTTGGTATTCAGCCACTCAGTGACAAAAGCCATGGATAATCCCCTTCTAAAGTATTTGGTACATGACATCTGATCCTCTTATTTGCTCAATCATTACACAAATTGTAATGCATGACGTTAGTAGTTTTTTAATAAATGGAATTTATTTGGTAGCGTAGAAAACACATTAAAGCCACTACACTCCATAAACTGTTGCTCCTATTCGTCTACTGAAGTGAGATAACCGTATATATTACGGGTCATCATATTTTTATATTTTTTAAGAGGAGTGTTTGTATTCAAGAAAAAATAAAAATACACAGAAAATATGATTTAAAAAAAGTAGGTGAAAATAAGGTATAAAAAATATATAAAAATATTATTATTATTTAATATTATTTTTGAGATTTTTTCGTAGTTTTAAATTTTTTCTTCTTTTTAAAGTAAAGTATAAATAAGTCTTCTGTGAGTACTATTTAAATTTGACAATTTTTTCTATTTTAGAATAAAAAATTATCACCATTTTAAATTAAGATATAACTCTTTTACACACGTATATATAATTTCAAAATAAAATGTAAAAATTCCTTGCATCATAAATACTCACATATGTCGTAATAAATAAGCATTTCATATTAGAAAAATCAACTCAGCACGCGGAAGATACAAATATGTTTCACCCAACACAAAAAGGAAATGATTATCATTATAAAGGTCGCTTTTTTCTTTTCAATTTTGACCTTGTGATCCATGAGATTGAAATTTAATTCAGGTGCATGAATAAATCAACGATGCACACATTAAGGTTAGACATAAGAAGCGGGGCCTTATCCTTCGTGTACCAATACTGTTCATTTAAATACTTTTTTTTTGTCGATGTAGATGACTCGGGTTATTTGTCGGTATTGTCAAATATAATAATACTTTTTTAAATGAAAATCAATGAGTACTGTGAATTAAATAAAAGCTTAAAATTTGATTAATTTCTGATTTTTCTTGTCTTTTATAAAATATTTACGTGATTTTAATGAGAAAAATATTAATTGGATACTCTAAAAATTATTTATTCCGAATAATGTAAATGTCAATTTAGTCCTATATAAATTATCAAAGTATTAATTTAGGGGGTAAATAAGTATATAAAATTTTTAAATTGATATCTATTTTAATTTAAACATTGAGAAATCTGAATGTTTAAAATCTTTGACCCAATTTTCTTTACGTATCTTTAAAAGACTAATTTTAGGTTTTGTTTCCTCAAATCTACAAACCATTCTTCTGATTTGTCCGGTCTAATTTTTATACTATGAAAATAACAATAAAATTATTTCTAAAGTAAGTGGATAACATTATCAAGAGAAACATAGCTCTATTATAGTTTCTTGGCGAATTAACACAGATATATTAAATTTAATTGTTTCAGTGTACCTAAAAAAAATATTCACCTTGATAATAAGATTCCTTGTCACTAGCTAATGTTTTTAGAAAAAAATTCATTCAAATCATTAATAAGGCCCAACACGGTTATTAAGTCCTAAAAATATATTGATTAAAATGAAATTTATAAGTATGTATATGGAAAAAATTATTTGGACCTATGAAATTAATTTTAACTTTGGTAACGTATAATCAGAGGCAAGAAGTAGCGACTATTGTGAAGAATAATAGCGCACGGTGCTATGAAATGAATTTGAACCTATTGACATTGAAAAGAGCTGCTAGCTGAGCAACCACGCATTAATGCATATTGATGAGAAAATTAGATGAAGAGCATGAATGAAAATGATAAAAGCAAGTGATTCGTGAACAGATAGTAGCTAGTGTTAACGCCGTTATTTTGTTTGTGATTATTTTAGGTTGATCATGAATTATGGGTGACCTAACTTCTGCTCCACATCGCCGACAATGCATTATTGGGAGTGCTTATAGTACTAATACAGAGAAGTAGGTCCGGAACACTCCACATCAACTTTCTAGTTAAGCAAAGATCCGGATTCTTGTTGATGAATCATATTCTGGCGCCATTATAACTCTTTGAAACTCCAATTGTGTCTTGTACCTACTTTTCTTTTTCTTTTCTTTTCCATTGGAAATTAACAAATCGTGCACATCCCTTTCTACTCTCCACATTCATAATAAGCAAGAGAAAACCGTCCAACCATCCCTCACATTCCTCGTTCATTAAAAAGTATGCAAGATTGGTAAGCAAGGTGACATGGTACCCATCTCTTATCTCTAACTAGTTAAGCCAGGCACGGAGTGGGAGACAGTTCATGCGGGTCTGTTTTAATTATAGAAAACATCACACACACACTCACACATGTATTAATTCCTATTTCCAATCATGGTTTTTTTTTTTATTTCCGAAATTACTTTTGGATTAATGTTTGGAGGTACCAAAGCATACGAAAGGTCTATGTAATGTGGGTGTGTACGTGTATGTTTTTAGCCAATGGGGAAAATCGTAAAATTTAGAGAAAATTAATGAATAATCAACGTAAGCAAGAAAAACAAATAAATATAAATAATAATAATAATAATAATAATAAAAAGGATATAAAGGCTGCTGGGACACGAGTAAAGTGGGACTAAAGGGCGCCAATAATTGGGACAATGTAAAGCGAAGCGGCTACATACGCAGGGAAGCATTTATAGGAAAAGAATTAAAGTGTGGCAATAATTATGTATTGTTAAATTGGTACGTGTGTGGGTGGCGAAGGGAAGGGAATCACCCACCTTCTTGATGTGTTTTGCCCTGCCATGTGAAAATGTTAGGATTGTATAGCATCGGAGAGTGAAAGATTATCCAAGTTTGTCTGTTATCATAATGGAGGTAACAGTAGTGGGGCTCAAAATGGTCAACCTATGCAAGGGATATAGAGGGGACTTTCATTATTTCCAATATACCCATCCATATTCGTTTCCCTACTCATTCCACCCTTTGATTAATAATAATCATAGCCACCCACCCACCCACCCGTTGCCCCCACAAAAAGTCTCATTCATTCTCTTTCCCCTAACTCCCTCCCTCTCTTCTTAACACCCCCTTATGCTCCCATGACACTTTATAAACCACCCCATCAGCTAATCATCATCTAAACTTCTCTTCCCTCACCTCTCTTCTCTCTCCCTTGCGCAAACACCCTTACTCTCTTCATGGGTCTTGATCAGGATGCTAGCAACTCAGGCCTTCACCTTATTCTAGGGTTAGCTTTGACTAGTACCCCCCAAGAAGATACCATCACTCCATCACCATCCAACAACGTCCATGACCATCATCAACTTACTCTTATGCCAAAACCATCTCCAACAAAGTCCTTCTCCTCCAAATCCAATTTCATCCAGCCTGAACCATCATTAACGTTGGGTCTCTCAGGTGAGAGTTACCCACCGCAGGTGGTCAAAGTCCCCAAAAATATTGGACACAACATAGTCTCCTGTGAAGACCCTCTTGACTTGTCTACGCAGACTTCACCTCGCAGTGCTGTGTCCTCCTTCTCCAGTGGCAGGATCAAGAGAGAGAGAGATGTTAGCTATGAAGAAGTGGAGCCAACAGAGACTGAGAGGGTTTCTTCAAGAGCTAGCGACGAAGAAGAAGACGGCACCACCGCCAGAAAGAAGCTTAGGCTCACAAAAGAACAATCAGCTCTTCTAGAAGAAAGCTTCAAACAACATAGCACTCTCAATCCTGTAAGCATATAACCTATCTCTCTCTAATTATTTCCACATATATATATATATATATATATATTAATTATAATCACGTGTTCATGCATTTAACCATGTACATATACATATACGTATGTGTATATATACTCTCCCATATTATTAACTTTTCTGATTGATTTTATGATTAATATTGTTGCGCTGGATTGGATTTACAGAAACAGAAGCAAGCTCTAGCCAAGCAGTTAAATCTTCGGCCTCGACAAGTTGAGGTGTGGTTCCAGAACCGGAGAGCCAGGTATATATATTTGATTAATTTATAAGCACTCTAATCTAATAACCGAACTCTCTCTCTCTATAATAATAATAATAATAATAAGGTTAATTTATATTTGTAGTTTGAATTTGGTGACTAAGATTTTTTGGTTTGGATTGCAGAACAAAGCTGAAGCAGACAGAGGTGGATTGCGAGTTTCTAAAGAAATGTTGTGAAACGTTGACAGATGAGAACAGGAGATTACAGAAGGAGCTGCAAGAGCTAAGGGCACTGAAACTAGCTCAGCCTTTGTACATGCCTATGCCTGCAGCCACCCTCACCATGTGCCCCTCATGTGAGAGGCTCGGTGGCGTCAACGGTGGCGCTTCTCCTAAGACCCCATTTTCCATGGCTCCTAAGCCTCACTTCTACAACCCCTTCGCCAATCCTTCTGCAGCATGTTGATTGTTATTACTTATTAGGCTTTTAGTTTTCAGGTCCAGGCTTAAAAGAAAAGGAAAAAAGAAAAAACCAACCAAACAAACAATAGTTCCCCACAACCTTTGTATTTTTTTGGTTGAGGGATACGCCTTATGAACTAGTGAAAGGGGGTTAAGGGTGTAATTAACTAATACTGTAGAAATTTGTAACCGCTGATCAAAATTACTTTGTTACTTTTTCTTTATTGTATGTCTATAAATCGTTATAGAATACATCCATCTATGAAGGAATAACTATTTTTTTATTGTTTGTTTTCGCAACTCCCATGGTACATGTGGTGGTGTGTAAAGCATTGGATAACAAGTCAAAATCCGAATTATATGTCTTTGACTAAAATGCTACCAAAATTTAATGCCAAAAGAACAAGAAATCAGTTGTATAATTGTATAACAAAAATGAATTTGGACGCGGTTGATCTAGGCGCGACTATCTATCTACTACATAGAAAATGATATCTCTAAAAGATAAGCTCTCTCTTAAGAATTAATTTATGATTATATTTTAAAAATATTATATTTTTTCCGTTCATATGTTGACTCTAATAATAATGTAGCATTCTTAAATGGGAGCAGAAAATAAACAAAAAATGTAGCGAAAAGGGGAAAAACTATTCCTTGCAATCATGTAAATAGCCCCTGCCTAATATTTTTAATGGGTGTAGTCAAAAGATATATATGTCAGTTGGATTGGGGGTTATGATTAAGTTAGAGAAAGGTTGAAGGTGCGGAGAGGGGAAGTTAGGTCACGTGTTTTTGTCTGCAAAATGAGTTGCTTAATGAGAAGGCGGTGTGATGAGGCATGTGGGGGAAACAAAGCAGAGGATGATTGACTATGAGAAAACAAAGGAGGAGCAAGAAAGAGTTGATTATGTGCCTACATGCACATGATGTCGTCTCGTGAGATGCTTTACCTTTAAGGGGACTAGTGGGCCACACCCCCCCCACGTGATGACCCAATGGGCCGGTCTCTCTCAAAATCTCTACATGAGATTTTCCCTTCAAGGTCAGCCCCTTCATCTTTCTTTTCCCCCACTCCTTTTCCCTTCAATTGCCCCGCCCCAAATCTCTATCTGAATCATCATTGCTATCTACGTTGTTGTCAATATTTAATAATTACTTTTAATTAAATTATTATCATTTTCTTATTTTTCCTATTTTTTAATTCATGCAAACTCATTATTTCATTTAGCGGTTTTTTCAATCCAAAATTCCACCTCACAAATCATACCAGGTTCCCAACTGCTCAAATGAAAGGTAAAGATCACGTGTCCACTGCTATATACGTTCTAGGCACGCTATCATGATTGGAATTAGACATTTGAACGTTGAAAAACAGAGACGAGACCAGACCATCTTAACATTAAACTACATAATATACAGGCGTTTTAGATTCGGGAATTAATATATAAATAAAAGTGACATGAGTTTTAATTGGCTAAGGTATTTTAAATAAATATATCACTTACACTTCAAACTCTCTCTCTTCTTTTTTTTTTTTCAATCAGAATCATATTTAAAATTATCACACAGTTATTGTTAACAGTAGAAGAAAATTAACTTTTAAAAAATCACATATTGATGATGCTTTTATTTTTCATTACGTCACTTGTCGTATTATTTTATTTTTCTTTCTATTTTATAAAAATATTATATAATTTTACTGTGCAATTAATATTTTTATTTTTCACCATTATTGAGATACTGTTCAAAAGGCAAAAAAAGAGAAAATAAAAGGAAGGACAAAATGATAAATATAAAGGTGTAATGGAAAGTAAAGAAAAAGACAAAAAGGAAAAGTAAGTATAAAATTGAAATGTTAGAAAAAAATAGGAAAATAAAACTTATACTGTTAAGCAAATTATATTGATTTAATTATTATTAAAATTCTACGCATCATTCATGTTGGGGTGGACCAATAAATATTATGAGAGGGACTTTCCCGGAAAAGGGAACAACTTCCTGGAAACTACTAATTTATCAGAGTCCTCCTCATCCCTTTCATACCCCATTTTTAACCAACGCCGTCATCATCACGTCCCCCAAACTCACTCCTTGCACTCCAACTCCACGAATATCACAAATTTTAAAATTATGCTAATAGCGCGAAGACCCTGAGTGTGTGAAAGCTACGTAAAAATATACAACTTTCCGGTTCATTATTTTTACTCGTAGCTCTAACTTGCAAAACAGAGATTAAGAATTGAACTGGTCACGAGTCAATTTGTTTGTTTGAGCCATGTTTAGATTCGCATTATGTAACTATATAATGCGCGTTCATACAGTAAACGTTACTCTTCATTGTGCTATATTAGACAACTAAATTGGATCGTCAATCCAATCGACACAATTTAAAGAAAATAATATTTATTCTAATAAATATTTTATTATAACTAAAATTGATGGAAAAATAATTAAGCATGTCCGATCGGAGTGGCCAAAAATTTGCTGAACCTGGTTCTCCTTGGACACGTGTGATCGTAAATACTAGCCCGTTTATGGTGGCTAAAACAAACGGAGCGTGAGAAAAGGGATGTTTTTAGTTGGGAAAAAATTTATCCGAGTTAAAAAAAAAATGGGAAGTGAAATATATATTTGAAAAGTTAAATGAGTAATGAAGAGGGATATCTGGTGGTTCATGCGTAAATGCAGAATGAAAGCACCTTTGTGAAAAAGTCTTGGATGTTTAGTTCACCTCTTGTGATGGGATCATGATTTTCTGTTGATTTTGTATAATACGTGTGCGCACACGTAAGAGTCTTTACCGAGTCCCAGATAAGCCCAAGACATATGTCTTGTGCTCGCTACTTTGTCGGCCTTTAAATGGTATTCATTTCAACGAAAATACTTGTTGGTTTTATTATTATTTTGTCATCATTGATAAAAAGCAGTATGGGTGTGGTCTCGTCATCTTAATTCAGTTCCTAATATATTCATTTTTCTTTGAAAACACTCAACTCAATCATCAGATTAATTACGAGCCCATAATATTATATGCTTTGCAATTGCAAATTCACCCAATTATTATATACAAATAGCTATCTCAAACGTCGAGTATTTGTCACATTACCTAACTTACAAATATCATCCATTAATTATATCATGGATGTTTTCTTGAATTCAACTACCGCAACATTACTTTAATTGTGCTAAATTCATTAATACAACAAACTCAACTACATATTATTTTTATCAGTTTCTCCTTTGTTTTACGCATTGCAAAGAGAAAAAAAATAAAATGAAACTACTTTGGCTAGAAGGTTCTCTAGTGTCGCCAAAAAAAAAGGTTTCTCCTCTGGAATGGTTTACCCGTCTCTCGTGGGTTTACAATAAGGAATTCAACTTCCATTTTGACATGTAACTTTGTGAGTCAGAAAATTGAAGATAAGCTTCAGTCCACTTAAAAGAAGCGAAAAAAAATAGAAATTGCAACTGAGTTTTGCGGTATCATGTGCCTTGACCAAAGTCAAAATGGAAAAATAAACGACGATAAAAACGTTCTAACTAAAGTTATGATGTATCTATTCAAATAGATTATCAATTATAACAAAATAATAATAATGAATTATTTAATTTTCACTAGTTTATTTTTGGACTTTTACATTCACCAAACACATTGAAAACATGTATTCCAGCTGTTGAAATTAGAATTATGTTATATTCGATCCTTTTACTTCAACTTTTCTGCTGTTTTTTCCCAGCAGTTTACGTTAATACAGTCATTAATTGAAACATTTAACCTACTATGAAAAGATCAAACTGAAAACCTTCGTGGATTACCTGATAGAGGAATTCATGGGGTCCAATTAGTCTGTAAGAAAATACAGTCCCAAAAAATTATAGTTTATTTTATTTTTAAAATTAATAATATAAATTCTGGACAAAAATAGCTTAAGGATGCCGTTAAACTAGGGATTTTTTCCTCAGTAAACAGTATGGTGAAAATTTGTACTATAGTACAAAAGATAATTAAAGGACCAATATGTCCGTTTTTTTTAACATTATTGCGACCACACAAAACAAATAATGCATAACACAAATGGAACTGCAGAAAATTTTGCTGTATCACAAAAGTTTCCAATATATTCTATGAATTAATTAATTGATCCTCAAATTAACAACTAACAACGCAAGGAATTATCCAGTTATCACTTACGTTGTGCTGATTTGTTTGTACTTTTCCTCAATCAATCAAAAGCCCCTTAAGTTATTATAAATGTCAAGGCACTGATCATGCCGCTATCTATAGTCATCAAAATAAAAAATGGCTACTAATTAATTAATCACGAAAATAGAGAAGAGAGAACATTGAAACGTGGACGTGGTTTGGCCATATATATCATGCATATGGCGGTAGATTCTTGAAAGGAAACAATGCTCATAAATTGTCATAATTTCATTTTCAATGTCAATTGTATCGGAAAGGGTGTGAATAAGATGGTCTTTGGGGCTGCAAAGGGTAGTGTTGTCGGGCGAATAGGCAAACCTCCAAGTGTCTTTGAGAAAGTAAAGCGAGTGTAACCTAATGGCATAAAAATTAAACAAATAAATAATAATGGGGTTCGGGTATTAAGTGGACATAACCATACCAACGGGCCATGATCAAATTCAGCATATCCAGATGGCGACTTTAATAACGTTGCCTTCTATTACCATGTGTACACATGTAAGTTCTAATTGCAAGATGAAGATAATTGAGCAATAAATTCAAATACATAATCGCCCCGTACCTTAGAATCGAAAGCGATGCATTGCCGCAAGTAACAACAACTATAAACACATAATTTCATTATGATAGAAAAACAATTATAAACAGATAAAGGATACGCAGGATTCTCGAAAGTCTCAAATGTCGCAAAAACTTGCGGAAATGTAGCAGTCACGTGTCCTGCCCCAAACAAGAATGCTAATAATATGAAGCATATCATCAATATCATTAATCATTTTTATAATGTCTAATATTTTCCATTCTCTTTTCTTTTTCATTTTTAAGTATGATGATAATGAATGATACCTGCTCTGATTTTTTTAGCAAACTGCCGGGTTTCTTTCTCGTAGCTTCTGTGGCCCGAAACTGTCAGAAGAAGAAATCAAGTTGAACTTAACATTTCTTTATGCCTAAATGAATCCAAAGAATAAGATTTTTCCAATTAATAAAAATTATTTGTTAAAATTATAATTTTATTTAAATTTTCCCTTTTAGATTATTTGAGATGACAAATTATTTATTAATACCGTAACTAAT